GAAAAAACGCTTCTTTTATACCCTTTTTGGGTTCGTCTTGTCCACCAATCAGAGACGTTTTCTTTGTCGCGTTTCACATTGTATACGTGACGCTGGAACCCCCAAACAGTCAAGGTACGATGTATATCTAATGGTACCGGTGATGATGTATCGCGGTATCTACTATATACAGTTTACATCACCGTCGTTGCCCGCTGACGGAACCGACGAAAATGTAAACCGATATCTTAGTATCTTAGTACTAAGTAAACTATAGATTAATTTTTGTTCGAGGCTAAAATTTCAACAGTTTCAAATAATCGGCAAGATTTTTCTAGATTGACGCGTAAAAAACTAGCGAAAATCGATAAAAATCGATTTAAATTCTATTTAAACAGAGTTCATATTGTTTGTCGGCTAGTTATTTTCTACGTTAAAGTAATAAGCCATTTATTGCGAAAGTTCCTACAAGATCTGTACTATCTAACATTTATTTACAAGCATTCATCGGAACACGATTGCGCTGAACTTAACAATACCTTCTAAAGCAATGATCTTCCGCAATAAAGGTCATGGTACTTTTATGCAGAAAACAGCGAGTTGCGTCGATTAGCGCAACAAAAAATATGCGATTCCATTTGAAAAAATGAAATCGACCTCCGTATCTCCTTTACGCATCGACCTCGAGAAATCTCACCGATATTAGATTATGTGCCCTCTGAGACCATTTGATTTTTATTTGAAACATTTTTCAGTATCGTCAACGGTTTGCGAGATAGTCGACTGGATCGACTTGAATGGCTCAGCCTGTATAATGGCCGGCGTTAATACGAGCACTGTGTTTGATTATCCGCAGTGAATCGATCGTCGGGATCCTCGGGTATCGTTGCGAGAGAGAGAGAGAGAGAGAGAGAGAGAGAGAGGGAGAGAGAGTGCGTATCGAGCGGTCAGGTGCAATCGAGTCGCGCGTTGCATAATAAGTTGCACCTGAGTACATGCGAGTAAGTTTAACCGTTTCTCGCCCCTCTGGTATCATCCTAGCCCCCGGCTGTTGCCGATGAAATTTATTTATCCTGACGGTCCCTGGCACAAATTCGGTTTATCTCGATCGTCTCGATCCGGGCTCGGCTCTTTGTATCGCCGGCTCCGCGAGATCGATGTCCTCGGTAAATTCAATTACGGCGGACTGACGGAGTGCAAGACACAAATATAAAAAGAAAATGATATAATCTGCGATGCGGTGTTCCAGTTTCGTTTCTTCGTTGCGTGGTCGAGCCGCGGGGCGCGTTTATAATTGCAGCGCCAGATTTACCGAAGTGGAACCTCCCTTATCTGAACGATTAGTGTCGATAATAGGCTACAATAAATATTCTCGCCGGCCGTTCTCGTTGGTTACGAAACCATTTTTTCTAGCCCACGCACTCGGTTGCTTTCGAAATATCTTAGCCTATTTCCACTTGTGGATAAACGAGGTTCCACCGTCCAGGGAAATAGCTGAATTCGAACCATCGTCTAGGTGTAATCTAATTTACGAATCATAGTCAATTAGTACCACTAATAACGCTAGAACTATTTCCCTTCATCGCGTATGCCTAATAAAATTTAAAATTAAAATTAGTTGTGTTAATTGCGAGATACATGCATAGATATTGATCTATTTCCTAATCATTTCTACGAGTTGAAAATATTACAACAGTATTTCCAAATTCGTTATGTTTTTTATTGCTTGTATTCGAGCTGTCATAATTTTGTATAGTAGCAATTGTCATTAAATCCAGTTTATTGTTGATAATACTTTTAATACTGTTGATAATACTTCAAGTGTTTCTCTTTGCCAAGTGACACAGTGGTTCAACCTAAATAGTGGTCGAAATTAAGCTACTCTCCCTTAATTATACATATTAGACTAAGCTCTTTGATCGAGATTGCACTAGAAAATAAGTGAAAAAAACGAGGTCTAGAATTCCAGAATAAAAATTTCTCGAGCATACTTAAATCTCACTAGAATATAACCAAAATCAATTTATTTTTTTTAATCGAGCGAATGGAAATCCAACAAGTATTCGAACTCGATTATCTCGAGAACAAAGTATCGTATGAAAAAATTCTGGAATTCATTTTCGTCGGACGTTTTCACATGAAAACAGCCGGTGTTGCAGCTCGCGGCACAATTTTCGATGCAGCTGTATACTGGGTGTCGCAGATCGAAACCGCCAAACTTTGCTAACACGTTCGCAAGAATAGGTCGGAGTAAAAAACGTTAATCGACCTATGGTGTACACAGGGTGTTCCATAATTATCCTAACACCAGCGACTTGATTCCTGAGGTCATTCGAAGTAATTTTTTCCTTAGCGAAAATTCAATCCGCGGCTTCGTTTACGAGTTTTCAACGAAAAACACTGACCAATAGGAGGCGAGCACGGCTGGCGCAAGGCGGCGCAGTTCCGCTCGTTGCCTCGCGCCGATCGGATCTCGCCTCTCATTGGTCACTGTTTTTCGTTAATAACTCGTAAACGAAGCCGCGGATTGCATTTTCGCTAAGGAAAAAGTTACTCGAAATGACTCGAGGAATCAATCATCCACGGATGTTAAGATAATTATGGGACACCCTGTATAACATTTCTTGCTCGGAATGCACTCCAGAACGTGTTGGCCGAGTGTGTCGGTTTCGATGTGGGACACCCTGTAAATAGGAACGCTCGACAAGGCATGTTGCTCACGTATCCGCGAGACAACACCGGCTTTTACTCGGCGCTGGTATTGCGCAAGCATCGCGTTAACGTTTATAACCGCGGCACGCTTCTTTATATTTCCGCCGGTTTATATCTCTCACGTCTAATATATCGTTTCTCTGTTTTTCTTTTTCATGTTCGCAGTATTACGAGATGTCCTACGGGCTGAACGTGGAAATGCATAAACAGGTAAGCCCTCGTTGTTAATTTGAATTTCAAATGAATATCATCGAAGCGCGGCGATAGAAGCCGCTCTGCTCTCGGCTCGTATGAATACCGTCGGCGCGGCCGCGCGTGTCCGTGTGCGAGGCGCATTTACGAGCGCACACGGGCCCGCGCGCCCGCGCGCACGGCCCGGCCGCGCGCGTACGCGGCCGGTGTGCACGAACGTGCAACGGTAGCACGAGCACACACCGGTATAGCAATTACTTCGTTGACTTAACGCGCGATAGCACGACGTGTCCGGTGAAATTTATGTTTTCATTCATGACGCGGCTGCGCGCGAGCAATATCCGTGCGGCGACTTACTAATCGCTCGGAAGACCGGCCGCGAACGGCGGCGGGTTTCTCGCCCCCGGTTTCGACCCTTAATTCGGAATTAAAGGGGCGCGCGACTGCGGATTAGGGAGACAATTCCCGTCCGGGGACCGGCCGGCTATTGAATAAATATGTAAACAAGGTAATAACATGCAAATCGGCCGGCACCCTCGGCTGCCGGACCACTTCTTTCGCCGACTTTCCAATGAAGAAAAAGTGCAGGCCGCGTCGCGCACGGGTTCTATTGCGAATTATTGAGCGTATATCACGGGCACGGTATTCAACGGGGGGAGATCGTGATCTATCGGACGAGCGTTCCTTGAATTGGAAAAAGCTTCGCAGCGTGAGCGAGGAATTCGAAGCGGGAGCCGGGGATTTTAAGATATTATTCGGCCGTTCGGAAATAAATTGCGGATTTGGATCGCGGTATGCGGAGAGGGTAGTTTTAACTTGAAATTCATTTATGTTGCTGTTCAATTTTTCCGACATCCTGTAAGATTTACTGTGAGGCGCAAAACCGAGTCAACGCCTTTTGAAACGGTGTAACTTTTTTAAGACTGGTCTAAACGACTGGAATTTTTCTGTAAATGTTAGAGGGACTGGTTCACTGTAGAATGGCCGAAATACTTTTTTTATTTTGCTATTACTTGGAATAAAAATAAGTCCAAAAGCTCCCGTTTTTTCGCTTTTTTATCCGAGCCTATAATGAAAATTTAAAAAATGCATTTGGTATTTGTCGACAGAACGATATTTATACTTTCGGATGTAATATTTTACGATAAATATAATTTTAAAATATCTGGTTTAAATACAACAGCGATTTATTTCGAAGCATTCTAATATTTACCAGTGATAATTTCTGATCGAACAAAATTCAGCCACTGTTCGGAACGAATTTTGGTAAAGCAAAGATTAAAAGTTACTATGTAGCAATTAATTTACAATTTTTCGGAGGTACAAAGTATCTTCGGTATTTCCTGTTTCTTGCGTTAATCTTGGCGTGCTCGTAATAATAAAAGCATTACGTTCACCGGCGAGGAAACTCTTCTGCGGAATAGTATCGTTTTACACTCTTACACCAATTAGAAGTTGAGACTGTTTTCGCTGCTGCAACGTAAAGGTAAAGTTCGTTTCAGGTCAGAGTATTTTAGCCGAGGAAAAGATGGCGGGGCACGTTAACAAGAGCGCCGGTTAAGAAAACCATAAAATAGTGTGGCGAACCAAAATTCGAAATTGGCTCTGTGCGAGTTAAACGAAATCGCATTTTATTTTATCGTGCCCGAAACATAACGTGCTACGTGAAAAATGCAAAGTAGAAAATACACTGAAATATAATCTCGACAGAGATCAAATACAAGACCTATTCTGAATACTAATTAAAAAAAAATCAGAATTCCGAAAGCGATGCCGTAACGATATGCAATTCTCGTCGCTAATAACCGTGCAGTCGACGCGACGTAAAACCCTTGATTGAAACAAAAAAGGGAAACTAATTTTACGACGATCGTCCGATCAATCGGGAACGCGGCGAAATCGGAATCTAAAGTCCTCGGCGCGATTGCTCCTATTTCTTTCCCCTCTCGCTTTGATGTGCTGTGTGTATTGCCGGGGATTTGTTGCGAGCGCCGAAAGAAAAATGGCGCGACGTTGCCTGTATATTCTTGGTAATGCTTTCCCCTTAATGGCCTGGACGATCTGTTTGCCGAGTAAACAGGCAGAAATAGAATCGGAAGGAGCACGTTTGATACCGTGAATTAACCCGGGGGAACTTGGAAGGAAGGCCTTTTCCAAGGCGACAGAATTCCCGCCCGAGAACGTTTTTCCGATATTAATAAAGACAAAGATCCGCGGGCCGATTTCCATCGCAAAGATCCTCCGGGACGTGTTTTTCTACCGGCTGCATCCATATTCATCGCGTCGATCGGCCGATTTGAATTTCTCGTTTTCTCGTCGCGCAGTCGTGATCGCCATTGTAAATACCGATTTTTCCCTTCTGTCACGTCCTCCGTCGCTCCTCGTCTTTCTTCGAACGCGATCGACGGAAAGAGGTAAAGAGAGTAAAAGAGAGAGAGAGAGAGAGTGGGAGAGAGACGAAGGAAGGGAGAAAAACTGCGGTATAATTTGTTGGCGGCGAGACAGGACCAAAAGCGGAACGAAGGCTCGGGCCAGAAGAGAAACGTCGTATTTCATTTCGCGCTCGGTTTTACGACATTCCGGACATTAATGTCGTCAATTACCGTGCACGTCTTCGTCCGTTTTTACCGGACCGATTCATTTACGAGGCCCTCCCCCCGCCCCCCGATCATGAAAATTTATCGACTTGGCGGACGAACGCGAAACCGTCGCGGAACGCTTTATATCTTGCGCCGTCGTCGATCTTTTAACAGAAACTTTCTTACCGGGGGCGAGAGCGGAGCGTACGGTTCTTGCGCGGCTCCGGGAATAGACAGTTCCGTCAGATATGGGCGAATAAAACGGGAAAGAGGTCTGACACGACGAGAATCTATCTGGTACAACCCATCCCGGAATCTCGATCACGAATTCTCACGACCGACAGGATAAATAGCCCACTTTTTCCTTCCTCCTCTCGATTTCAACCGACCCATTTGTCTCTCTCCTTCTCTCTCCCTCCACCCCCTCTCTCTCTCTCTTTCTTCTTCTTCTTTTACTCTGTTTCCTTCCCCCTCGCGCTTTTACGATCATTCTCTCCTTACCTCTTCGCCACTCTTCCGTAAGTCAGCTTCGAACGTAGACGTGCCGGGAATAATGCTAGCGTTTATTGAATATTTTCCAGCCGGCCCCGTTATTTCCTTCTCTCCCCATCCACGCTTCCTTCCTCCTCTTTCTCTGTCTTCGCCGGCTTCTTCGCTCGCGCCGTTCCGTCCGGATGCACCCCTCAAATCGTAAATCGGGCTTCGTGTCGGTGTCGGGACTGGGGAAGAGACCGCCTCTCTCCGGCGAACAGTAGGCTGCAAACCCGTTTATCGTGTCCGAAATGAAATTTTCGGGGTGTTACATATCGAAGAAACTTTCGTATACGTTCATCGATACACCCTCCGAAGATTCGAAATTCGAAATATTAGCCATTTTTTTATTAGTAATCGTATGCGCGGGGACATCGCGCTGACGACAAAAATTTGGGAATTCAAATGGGACCTTTCATTCTAAGAGCTCGCAAAGGAGGTTATTTCATTGCTTAACCAATTCCTAATGATTCTATGATCAGTGATTCAATTCAATAATAATAATAATGATTCAATTCAACTTTGAAATGAGTTTTCGAAAAAAGGTTAGAAGCGTTAAACATGGGACTTGTTTCCCATGAAAGCTTAAACAATTATGAAGAGAAACGCGGAAATTTCAAGCGCCTAGACGCTTATCTTCAAGTTCTACAAATTTTAAAGAAAGGTCCTGCGGGACCTTGTAACGTTTGGGGCCATGGAGCGTTTTGTAACTGGCACAATTGCACTGGGACTGGAGAGAAATTTTCATTGCACGCATTTCCGATGATCCGACAACGAAATGTTTCGAACAAAAGTTCACCGGTGCTCCTTTTTCTACAAATCTGAATACATACAATTTCGGAGGCAAAATCTTTATTACAAATAATTCGAGTCACTTCGATTTCTTTTTGAAAATATTAATATTAACTTTTGACTGGATAATGTTACAGCAAGCGCCGAATTCAATAACCTACTATATATTATGATCTCAAGCTTGTAATAACGCGAAAATAATTTTGGACGCGATGAACGGGTTTGCAGCCCACTGCGCGGCGTTTCGTGCCTCGCGACGAAGACAGCGAAACAGAAGGGAACGGCCAGGGACGATTCATAAATTAGCCGGCGGCTGAGCGGATCGAAAATGGAAGGAGCCCGAAGTTTTGCGCCGAGGAACACGCGGACACGCGGCCCCCGGGGAAAGACAGGAGGCGCGGCCTCCCCTCGGCCGCTTCTTTTTTTTCTCTGCCGACCGGTCTGCTCGCGTTACACGTTCAATAAATCCCCGGCTGATTTACGCCGGACCCCGCGTATGCGTTATTTTATCGGGGAGAATAGCACCGGAGACCTTCGCCTCGCCATCGAAAGTAGTCGCTCCGGAGGATCCCGGATCCCTGTCGCGTTCCGAGGATCGTTAGCTGGCTTATCACACCGGACACTCGGTGTCCAACGGATTTCGAGGCGTATTCCAACACGTTTCCGATTATCCGACGCCGCTTGGACCGGTTCCTTTGACACGTTTTATTCCCATGATGCGTATCTACTTTATTCCCATACAATGAAATAGGGAAAAAAACATTTGATCGTGGAAAACACGTCGGAGAACAATTTTGCGAGAAATTTTTTTTACACCCTGTACATACAATCATCTTAGTGCACGAACTAACTGAAATGCGAAATTTTCTTCTTCAATTATCATACCAACACGAATTCCCTGTTCAATTATCTAACTGTCGAAATTAATACAAGAGTTTTATTCTATTTTACGTAGCTTTTCAATTATACTCCGATGGGCGAACAGAGAAATATAACAATTAATTACTATTTGTGCAGGGAAGCACATTTAAAGCGCAACGCGAAATTAGCAATAATATTTCAGTTAGAAATACAGTGTGTCCCAAAAATGTCTCGCAAACCGGAAATGAGAAGTTC